TAAAGTTAAAAACTAAGAGAAAGAGATATGTGTTGTCTATTTCTTCTTTTAATTGGTGATTTCTCTCAAGTAAAAGGCATATTAGTACTTACCTACTATTATTTGGATTTGACCTTCAAATTTTATTTTAGTCATGGCCTGAGGTATTTTTTTTAATTCTCTCATTTCCATTTTTTCCACTGTGACCAATATCCAGAGGTATGACTCAGAATTTGTCTGAATAGTTGCAAAACATGTACTATGAATTTCACATCATAATATCTATACAAATTCCTGTGACTCATTATAAGAAAATCCAGTACTTGTTAAAATATGCACATGAGTAAGAGTTTGATTTAGATTTTACAGACTGGATTATGACTTCAACAGTTTTCCTTTTTTGTAGAAGTACATTTCAAGATGCATGTACTGAAGACATTGCCTGCAAACTCTATAGTGAATAAACGCTTGTAAGTAGTCTTTTTCAGTAAGATGTTTCCATTTCTGTCTTTTGTTAAATAGAAAGGAAATTAATATCGCTGTGAAATTCACCAGTCGCTTTCTTCGTCCTGCTGAAGCTTCATTGCTATTAATTTCAAAACCCAAACATGGAATGGGAGGCGTTACAATGACTTTTGCTCTAAAAGGCGAAGTCCTCAATATTAAAGCAATTGTGAGTGAATTTTACTTCTTTTGTCTTTGCTTTTGTTCTCAAACCTTGGAATGACACACATATGGCTGCTTCCCCACGTTTTATGTCTAGGTAGTTCTTGATCCTTGAAGTGATCCTTCTGCCAGTGGAGATCTGTGATTTGAGTTAAAGCAGTCGTGGGCCTGTGTATGTGTTTTTGTTTGGACTAAACGTTGATCATTTATTCAGCAAAAAAGGTTTTTCTCTTTTCTGCTAGGAACATTCATCAATTTCTCTAGAATGTCATGTGGAGCAAACCCATTATAGAATTAATGCTAATGCTGGGGTTTATTGAAAGTTGATGATGTTGCTCACAGAAAGCTAAGTATAGCTCGAAGGGTGGGAAAGAAGGATAGTTAAAATTTTATGAAATGTTTGGAACATTATGATTGACATTTTGTCCCCATTAACTTGTGTAAATATTATTGTCAATATGGATGTATGGGTAGAGTGCAAGTAAAATTGTTATTGGCAGATTTCTGTAAAGACTTCAGCAACTTTTGGGAGAGAGAGGAGTAGAAAGTACAGAGAATGGCTCTGGGGTGCTCCTGGGGGGGCTGCGTCTGTGAGGAAAGCAGCAAGACATCACAAGTACAAGCTAGCTCATTTTGCAGTGAAGCCCAGAGCAGAGGTGGACATTTGTCACAGAGATGCATATTATATTCTGATTTACTCCTGAATAATGAGCACATAGCATTTCCCAAAGCTTTCAAGTGAATTCTCTGAAGCAACAGATTTCTTTATCACATGTAATTAAAAGACCTGGCTAGATTTAGATTGTCATTAGCATGACTTCATGGCAGAAAAGCTGACACCTGTATATCCTGCCCCTATTTACTTCCTCATCTGTCCACTCGTGGTTTCATGTCACCAGGGCGTAGATTAGAAAATAATGGACAAATAAAATGAGGCAAGAATACAGTCTGTTTGTTTATTTATTTATTTATTTATTTATTTTAGTCTTTTTGAGACAGGGTCTCGCTATGTAGTTCAGACTGGCCTTGCGCTCACTTTGTAGCCCAGGCTAGTCTTGAACTCACAACAATCCTCCTGCCTCAGCCTCCCGAGTGCTGGGTGTGCCACCACACCCGGCTACAATCAGTTTAAAATGTAGAATTTCTAGAAACTTTTCTCCCATGGAAACCCTGTGGATAGTTGGAAGTTTTTGTTTACTATCTATGCTTTTATTATACTACAAATATATCAGCATAATGAATGCATGATAGAGACAGACATGTCATATTCAGGCACAAATTTGCAGAGATATTTATCCATGTGTGCACACGTTCAAAGACGTGCCTTTGTCTTGCCTCATACATATTAAGTACCGTATATATGACTGTGACTATAAATTATATCAAGTGATTAATAAAACAAAATTTACGATATCAGTTTGAGAGACATTGTTTTGACAAGTAATTATTAGCAGAGTACTACAGGTCAATAAAGTGATAAAATATATTTTTATCCTTTCCTGTCCAGATTTTAGCAATTCAGTGGTTGTGGGGAAAAGGGAATTAATTACATAGACTGTCAGTGTAATATTCAATGAATAATTTGTAGATTTTTAATTTTCTATTTTATAGTTATGGATATTTGTTTTTTGTTATCACCACATATTATGATTTATTTTTTACTTCAGGAAATTCTTAAATGTGAAACTCCATGTTATCAATGGAAGCAAGTCATTGTGCCTTTGAAAAACCCTTTCCCAACTGGTGGAAACTTTAAGTAAGTTATGGTTTTGGTTTAATTGTGTTACAATTAGCTATTTCCAGTGTAATGAAAAGTCTATATATTACTTCATCTCTTCAACAGGAACCGTTTTGAGAAGAAACTACATGTGTTCACATTCCTGGAAATGTATAAGTATCATCAGATAAAATAAGACACACAATGGTAGTAAATCAGTTTTTTAAAATTTCTAGTTGAGCATGTCAAATTTATGAGCTTGCATTTCAGCTTTCTTTTTCTTGAGATTCAAAGTTCTTGCAGTATTTTAAAATTTTTAATTGATTGTTTATTTCTAATTTATTCTATCAGTTAATGTCCAGAACTAAAATTTAGTTTCAACACAAATAACTTTTTTTACATGCAGCATCATGATTAATTAATATTGGTATATTCAGTATGTGCGTATCCATTTTTAGATTTAACAACAAAAGCAACAAAAATTGGCATCAAAAAGAGAATGTTTATATTATTTAAAGACAATAAAGATTTACTTCTTAAAAATTTACACATTGAGGGAGATGGTAGAAGATGATCCCTTGTACACTGATTAAATTAGGAAGTCTGTTTCTTCTAGTTCCAGAAATCAGAACTTCACAATAATTATATTTATTGTTAAAGTTATATATATGCAGATGCTTACTTAGTATGTAATAATTTTCAGTTATTTTAATCACTATATTTCAAGGCTCATGTTAATTATGTAATTTTTTTGTCATAGAGGTTTTCATAATAATCCCTTACTGTTTCTTTTAAAATTTTAGAATGTAAACAGTGATGTCCCTTCTTGCATCCTTAAGTTTAATAATTTAATCATTGTATCTTCTACTCTTAATCAGTCTTGCTAAAAATCCATCATCCTATTGATCTTTACAAGTAACACCTGTCAGGGCTGTGGATCTATATAGCTCATTGGCTCAGCGCCTGCCTGGAAAGTGCAGGGTCCTGATTTCAAATCCTGGTACAAAAAAAACCAAAACCCCAAAACCAAAAAAAACTGTTTCTTTGGTCTTGTTTTTCTATTTCATGTCTACTATAACACTATTTTTTGTTATAACTTACTCCCTTCAACTTTCTTTGTTTTCAGCCTTCTGTTCTTTTCTTAACATATATAAAAATATGTTTATCTTGGGGTATTGGGATATGTACAAAGCACATCATGATCATTTTTACCTATGCTTTCCCTTAACCTTTACCCTCTTCTCTTCCCGCTTATCCAGAATGCCTTCCCATCTGAACAAACTCTGCTTTCCTATTTCCTACCATCTCTCTTTTACTTGGAATTTTCATATTCATAGTTTGAGTTTCTTTTTTTAATATTCCACATCATTAGTCACTCGAGAAATGCAAATTAAAACAACATTGAGTTTCTTAAAGAGAAACCACAGATATTTATTCCTCTAATTTATTTCACTTAGGTTTAGAGTATCAAAATCCATACATTATCCTGCAAATGACCCAAATTTATCCTTCTTTATGGCTAAGCAGTACTCAAATAT